TCCAATCGGGCTTTTGAGCGCATGCGCTAAAATAAGCCCTCCCCCAAAATAAGCCCTCCCCAAAAATATTGCAACACAGCAGCAGACATGAGGTGACCACGCTCCCCACCTCTGGCATCTCAAAAATAATAAGACCTCCCTGAAAATAAGGCCAAGCACTTATTTTGGGGGGTCAAAAGAAAATAAGACCCTGTCTTATTTTGGGGAAAACATGATAGGATAAAAGATCTGATTTCCTTGATTTAACACAAATGCTAAATACTCAGAACACTTAAAATGGAAACAGAAACCAAACCAATGAACAACTGACAATCTGACATCTAGAGCAGTGTAAATCTAGGAATTAAGGCTAAGGCTTGTTCAAAAGCACAATTAGCAATGGAAGCCAAGGAGGTGCTCTCTCAATTCAACCTGCTTAGCAGAGTTGTTTTCCCCCTCCCCTCCCCCGAAGAATTACAAGTTATATGCTCTTTTGAATTCCTTTGAGGAAAAGCAGAGTGTAAATCTCTCAAACTGGGATCCAATTACCAACCAAAATGATATGAATCTCTATTAAAAAACTGAACATCAGGCTTCAGCGATTGACAACCGGACCATAGAGATACTTCTTGGTCAACCTGTGTGCAGTAGTTTTGAATCAGATCAATATCACCAAATACATTTGTGAGTGAGATCTGAATCCAACATTATCTCCTATGTCATGTTATTTATTGCGGACTTGCAGAGAGAAAAAAAACAGATCTTTTAATTGAGAAGCTCGGCCATGCTTCTAATAACAGCCCTGCAAAGAACATTCCTCTGCTAGAGATGAGGTGTAGCTGAGATCCGAGAAACGGCCATGAAAGCAGTCGACAGTAAAAGAGCCACGAACCTACACGGTTTATTTTATTTTTCCATAGTTCCCCAGTGTCTGTTCCTCATCGCTAAAAACGGGGCCTCTGGTTGTTTGGCAAGCCGCTTCCCTTCTCTTGCATAAGGTGCCTTAAAATTCAGATAAAATCAAAGACGCCCACCAAACCACAGAGCAGATAAACTATCAACTGAAGTAGAAACACGGCTTGTACCACTCCGTACCACTCTGTAAATGGTGCTTAGTTTTCTCCAATGTTGCGACTTTTGGTAAACTTTCTCCCCCCAAGTTTCCTTAACCGAACCGTCACATTCTATAGTATATTTCGTACAATCGATAAGCCTGAAACCCAGTTGATGTCTTTCTCAGTCAACTTGTTTGCTATTTTGCTTTCCAATCTCTTGGGATTTTAAATCCAAGCATGTACCTATTTGTAACTTGAGTGCCACGCAGCATCAGTTGGATTTAGCATACCGTTATTCTGTTCACTTCAGTGGGAGGAAGTTGAATCTTACCTACGGTACAATTGCCTTTTTTTTTCTCTTAACAATGCCAAGATAAGAAAAAGAAGCAAAAATTTAAATTCATTTTGTTAACTCTGTTTGGCTAAAGGAGCTTCTTACCTGAGGAGCTCTCAATCCCAATCCGATGCCGCTGAGAATTTTTTCTTTTTCTGTTGCTGATATTTCTTTTGAGAACAGATTTTCAACATCTCCTAGGCAGCTTCCAATCTGTGGCTTTCCCCGACTGTTGCTTGATGGCATTTATGAAGTCATCTTTGCAACAGTTGGCATTTCCTGGTTAGTGAGAAATACAGACAACTCAAATGATTCAGAATACTTAGAAAAAGCCTGAGCTACCCAAACACCCAAACTTAAATCTCTAATTTGTGAATAGTTTTCATTTCACCAGAGCTGAATCACATATTGGTGGTGGTTGTTTGCAATCTCGGGTACTTAAAAATAAATAGCTTGGAGCAAATTGTTTGGCGGGGGGTGGGGAGGAGGGCGAACTTCCCGATTTGTGACTGATTTGTAATTTTTAAAGAAACAGATTTTTTTTTAGTAAAAACTGGATGATAATCATGTATATTTAATTAATCAATGAATTAAAAAGATGGTGACTAGATGTTTGTTCTGGTTTGTCCTTTTTTCCTCTAATCTGATCTTTAAGAAGTGGCTCACAGGACTTCAAGAGCCAAGTGCACCTCGGTGTCTGAAATAGTTGGAGTGGGTGTCCTTTTTAAAAGAGTTACTTGTTTTAAAATATGAAGAAACTATGGCAAATGCAGATAAAGAAAAAAAACTAAAAAAGGGAAAAAGAAAAAAGCTCTCTCTCTCTC